GCGTTCAGCTGCCGCCGGGCTGCCCGGTCCTGGCGCTCCGCGGCCATCCCGGCGGGGTCCCGCCCGCCCTGGCACCTCTGAAGGCGCTGCCCGTGGAACCGGAGCTCTGAGCCTCCTGCGGCCGCGAGCTTGTCGTGGTGTTGGGACGTCTGCTCTCAGGAGGGGGGGGTCACTTCCCAGACTGCCCAGCCCGGGGCCAGCGGCGGGAAGGGCGAATGGAGTGCCAGAACAGCAGAGCTGTTGCGTTGTGCTGTACGGGAAGGGACTCTTGAGCCTGGTCGTAGCCTTCCTGGCTTGCTCGTGGCGCGTGTGTCCGTTTGTTCTCGCTAAATGTAAATTAGAAGTCGATGTGCAAAGATGTAAATACAGCCAGCGCTCAGATTCAGCACTTCTGAGTATTGGGATGTGCTAGACGGTACCTCCTTCTGGTGCAGAAGAAAGGAAAACGTAGAAAAGCAGACTGAGGACACAGCAAAAACTTGGTAAAGCAGTGAAAAAAGTGTGAGAAGTATCTTGCATCTGTTACAAAGGTTCAGGCTGTTGTAGCTGGTAAGAACTCAACTGCCCAAGGTTATGAATTCAGAGCTGAATGGAGGTAAATCATTGTATGTGCTGAACACTTTTTCCTTGTGCTTTCTCTTGCTCCATGTTTCAGAACAGAAACAGAAGCAACCACTGGAAGAGCACATAGTTAGAATAACTATTAAATTTATGTGCTTAATTTTTTGTAAGCTACTGTAGCTTGAAGCTTAGTATTTGTGTTCCTACTGGAAAACAAGAACACCCCTGAGACCCAGTGCTTGAATGTTTGAGCCCTATGAACTTATGTAGGAGTTGTCATATGCCTTATTGTAAACCATAGCGTTAGCAAGCCGTTGCTGGCTTTGAGCATGTCAAGCAATTTGTTGGCAGGGTGTCTGGGATGCTGCACAAGGTACACCTGTTATCAGCTGTTAAAACATCGCTTCCCCTTCCAGTAGGAAACTGCCCTATATTTATTCCAAGGATACAAGTTCCCCACTTTCAGGGATGTCAGATAACTTGTGTTATCTAAGCATATCCACTTAAACCTATCAAAAGCTAAACAGAATGATGATGACTTTCTTTACTGCAGGTCGGCCAGTGTCCCTGCAAGCTCAAATGTGGCTGCTGGCAGCAATCGTCGTCTTCAGCAGACTCAACACCAAGTAGATGAGGTAAAAGTCTAGTCTGTTAGCAGTGTGTCTGTTGTTCTTGGTGAAACCTATATAATTAGAAGCAGTTTGAAGGGGAAGCCTGGTATTGTTCATTATCGTTATTATCCTTGTCTCATCTTAACTCTTGCAAAGGTTTTAAAAAAAATAAAATTCAGCTGGAGTGGGGAAGTAGAGAGAAGTTACCAGTGGCCAGATGTTAGCTGCAAATCCAGTGATTGAGCATTTGGCATAAGAAAAGATAAAAAACCTTTGTTGTTCCTCTCACTGGTAGCACTGAAGGCTGACTGCCAAGCAGGGCTTGCCCAGACTTCTGGGGAGCCAGGCTGGCCACTGGCAGTATTTTTTGAGATGTGGCTGGCTAGATCATGTTTATGTGCCTCAACTCCTCAAGCATTTAGGAGTTATCTCTCAGGTTTAAGGGAGTGCCAGCAGAACTTGCACTGATGACATTCTAAAGTAGGTACCAGGGGCTTCCAGCCGTGGGTGAATTTCACAGTGTTGTTTAAGTTTATGATGGGAGATACTAAGGCAATAGCTACTCCTTCTGAGAAGAGAACACCGAGTACCATCTATTGCCTCAAATAAGTTCCACAGTGAGTAATACAACTGATAACTTACTGTAAGCATTAAACCGGTGTAGGTGGTTGACATCATGAGAGTGAACGTGGACAAGGTGTTGGAGCGAGATCAGAAGCTCTCAGAGTTGGATGACCGTGCTGATGCACTGCAAGCAGGAGCTTCCCAGTTTGAGACCAGTGCAGCCAAGCTGAAAAGAAAGTATTGGTGGAAGAACTGTAAGGTAACCATGACTTGTATATTACACTGTGCAGTGTTGCATTTAATGCTGTTATGATTGGCATCTCAAAAAGCAGAAGTAAAAGTGATTTTAGCCAATGTTATTTAAATTGTAGCATCTGCTTTTTTAAAACATGGCATGGTGGTTAGGTGAAGTAACCAAAAACTGAATTACCAGCCATGTTGCTTGATGTAAGACCTTGTTTAAGATGGTAACAGCCAGAAGGAAGCTCAGTAGTCTGAGGCTTAGGTGAACAGGAAGGAAAAGACCAAAAGTGCATAGGCTGAGTTACTGTGCAGGAAGTGTTGGGAGGCAGAAGGAGCTGGCTCAGCCTCCTGCACTTGGAGCTGTTGGCAAAGGTTGGAATCATGTTTGAGCAACCAGGACAGCGGGAGCAGGGTGAGAGCAGAGTGGTGTTTAACAGTTCTCTAGCCCTGCTTGCTCTGTCACCTGGGGCAGGCTTTGCAGTGAGAAGGCCCTGCTGGTCTGCTCTCTGTGCACAGGCACCGTCTCGGAGCCGTATTGGTGCATCGAGCTCGCTCACTGAAGAAGTTTGGTTCTCCACGGTGCAGAAGCACCTTGCAGGGGCTGCTTCCCTCTACCCCAAAGGCCAGTTAATGCTGCTGTGTGGTTTGTCCTAAGTGTTGTATGGCTTTTTTCCACAGATGTGGGCAATATTGATAGCTGTTGTTCTCCTTATCATCATCATCATCATTATTGGTAAGTTTCACCAAAATGGGGATTTCTCATAGGGTTGGAGTAGGTGGTGTTAGTTCTCCTAGTGAACTGCTGCTTTGCCTGCAGTGAGTGGTAAAGCACACTGTGGGAGCTCCAGCGGGTGGATCTCAAACACCTCTGCAGAGTGAAACAGGTGAAAGTAGCAGGGACTTAGAAACCAGGAGCAGTCCTTTTACAGCTGTGTGTTGCAGAAATGTCAGGAGAAGTACCACGTGCTCCTGAGAACTGCCTTTACCTGCCCCAGCTGCTCGCTGGATGAGCCTGTTCCAGCGCGGCGGGTGCTGCGGGATGGGTGGGCTCTCCTCAAGGAGGGACTTTGCTGCTGGGTGAAACGATGCTGCTGTTGGGTCAGGAGCAAGGCAGGGAGTGTGGGGTGCAGCCTTCGGTGTGAGTTCTTGTGTCATGCAGAAATATTTCGTGGGAGGACAAAGCTTAAGCCTGTGCTGTGGTACAGTGGCAAACGCTGCAGTAACCATTGGCAGCAGGTCCTGGGTGAGGAATAATCAGTGTGCAAGCACGAAGGAAAGCTAAAGCTAGGAAGAGCAATGTGGGAAACGCTTAAATCCCTCTTGGCCTGTCTCTAGAGTCCCGAGTTGTTCAGATGCAGAGTTGTTACGGTGCGGGGCTGAGGAGACTGTCCAACGCTTCTCTTCTTTCTGCAGTCTGCAGTGTGCCTTCATGAGTCACAGAAGAAACTCAGACCGACTGAAGGTGCCAATCTTCAGCCTCCCACTTCAAACCCCCTGTATTTTCAGCCCATTTACTGCTGTTTCAAGCAAAACTATTTTGATTACTGAAACGTTAATTAGCTTCACCCGGTTGCCTTAAGAAGACACTCCTGTCGTTAGTTACTAACCAGCACAGCCCACCCCTTGCACAGTGCCTTGGTGGGGGCGCGGAGCAGCTGCGGAGGACTCGGCTCCGGCGTTTCCCCGGCGATGCCGCCACGGGTCGCGGACTCTGCC